AAAAGGCAGGCTTGATCAAGCCTCTGGCTTTCATACAATTTTTGGGAATTTTTTAGGCATTTTGCCAAGGCACTCCTGCAGGCACCCTGGTTGAAAAAGGTTGCTATATTTTTTTTTATAGTTTCCCCTGAAAATAATTTTTTAGCAACTTTCACATTTTAACTTCTCAGCAATTTCTATTTATGATGTAATTCAGTGCAGAGATGTGTAGGTTCTACCGCTGATGGGTGTCTATTTCTCAGACAAGTTCAACAAGCAGTCTTGTTGAATGAAATATAAAAAACAAAACACTTGCTGCACAAGCAAACCAGAGATTGTATTGATTTCAGTAAGTTAACAAAATTCAGACTTGCACTGAAAGTAAGACAATAAAACTGGCACACACGAGTTACTGTAATGTATGTGTGCTATAGCAATGCAGAAGATTTAAAAATGCAACCAATAGCTACAACAGAAAGGGTATGGATCAGGGGCATCCCTAGGGTTGGTGTCACCTGGTGCGGTAACACTTGGTGTCACCACTCCGACTATCTCCGCAGGATGGATTGGATCTGACAAATGAGCATAATGGATCGAAGTCCGATACATTATGCTCCCCAATCTGCAGATCCGATCCATCCTGCGGGGATCGTCGGCTTGCAACCTATGCAGGGTTAAATGATCTGTCAACACCAGTCCGGTCTGCACATGCTTGAGAAGTGATGTTAGATGGAGGAGGAGGTACCTGCTATCGTGGCAGGATTTCCTGGTTACAGACAAGTCCCGTATCTTGCACAGCCTTACCTAGATCAGTTAACCCCGTATAGGTTCCAAGCTGATGATCCCCGCAAGATGGATCGGATCTGCGAATTGGGGAGCATAATGGATCGGACTCCAATCCATATGCTTAATCCTCAGATCCAATCCATCTTACGGGGATCGTCGGCTTGCTTTAAAACTTTCCTTTTCGTGGAGAGGGTCCGGTGTCACCCCGTGCGATATGTGTCACCCAGTGCGGCGCACACCCGCCTAGGGACGCCACTGGTATGTATTGACAGGGTTTTGTTCACTTCAGGCAGGTTTTAAATTCTCTTACAAGTCTATAGGAATTCAAAACTGCTTGAAGTACATTACAGGTCAGAAGCAGGTCAAATGCACCTTTCATTGAAGGTAATCGCTCCATGTGCGATTACATGCCCAGTTGTGGAGTGTCAGCTGCTCATTGATTTGTACAGGCTTGTCCATGACTGATTTGGAAATACCTTGCCATACCCATCACAGAAATATTCTGATCTGGGTGCTGTACAGCCCACATCGGCTGTGTGTGCATGAACTCAAATTCTGGAGTTCAGAAGCATTTCAAATTGATAGAAAAATGATGCCATCGATACAAGCCATGTGATTTTTTAGCACAGGAGTATTAGCCAGTCACTGAGAGTCCAACTTCTATTACTGTCAAGTGAGAAGCTTTGAAAAGGAAGAAAACTAGGAGCTAGTTTAAAGCTCAGCTCCAGGCAGAAAAAGATCCCTTGCAGTAGGGCTGTGCCAGGACTGCAAGGGTTAATAACTCGTTTTGTCTAGGGGAGAGTGGTAACAGTGCTCCCTGCTGCAGACAACGCTCCCCATGATCCAGTGGTAGACTGTTTCTCATCGTCCTCATGTCCAAAGCAGGGCTATGGATCCTGCTCTGGTCTTGATGACATCAGGAACTTAGACTGCTAGAATGTGAGGGTGCAGAAGCTGTGGGGACCAGTCTAGCTGCAGGGAAGAGTGGAGGATTGGATAAGTAGATTTCCTTTTATTGTTCCCCTAGCCTTCAGATACAGACCCACTGAAAGGGGCAACTTTTTGTTTTCCTGGAGATGGCCTTCAAAGCAGCTTTATATCCTAAATGCATGGTTTTCTAAATAAATGTGGGGTTGATTTACTAAGCTGGAGAGTGCAAAATCATCTGGTGCAGCTCTGCATAGAAACCAATCGGTTTGAGGGTTTTTTTTCCCAAAGCTTAATTGAACCATCTGAAGATAGAAGCTGTATGTAATGAAAAAAGTACAGCGCTGAAAATACATCCAATAGTATTATTGCTAAAAATAGTGCAAATAATTCATAAAGTGCAAAGTTTGTATACAGTTGTGTTCAAAATAATAGCAGTCAGACATCACTAACCAGATCAATCACTGTTTTTGGTAGAAATGATATTTCTACATGGCAAATAATTTACTAGCAGGTGTAGTAGAGTAATAGAAATCCAACAGTCATGACATGCATGCTGCTGATTCTGTGTAATTGAATCACTAATTGAAAGGGGCATGTTCAAAATAATAGCAGTGTGGAGTTCTATTAGTGAGGTCATTCATTCTTTGAAAAACAGGTGGCAGTTATTGCCCTTATTTAAGGAAGGAAGGCAGCAAATGTTGTACATGCTGGTTACAGTGAATTTCTCTCTGAAATTCTGAGGAAAATGGGTCGTTCCAGACATTGTTCAGAAGAACAGCGTACCTTGATTAATAAGTTGATTGGAGAGGGAAAACATTTTGTGGACTGATGAAAGTAAGATTGTTCTTTTTGGGTCTAGTGGCCGGAGACAGTTTGTCAGACAACCCCCAAACACTGAATTCAAGCCACGGTACACTGTGAAGACAGTGAAGCATGGTGGTGCAAGCATCATGATATGGGGATGTTTCTCATACTACGGTGTTGGGCCTATTTATCGCATACCAGGGATCATGGATCAGTTTGAATACATCAGAATACTTGAAGAGGTCATGCTGTCTTATGCTGAAGAGGAAATGCCCTTGAAATGGGTGTTCCAACAAGACAACGACCCCAAACGCACCAGTAAACGTGCAACATCTTGGTTCCAGACCAACAAGATTGACGTTATGTAGTGGCCCGCCCAATCTCCAGATCTTAATCCAATAGAAAACTTGTGGGGTGACATCAAAAATGCAGTTTCTGAGGCAAAACCAAGAAATAGAGAAGAACTGTGGAATGTAGTCCAATCATCCTGGGCTGGAATACCTGATCACAGGTGCCAGAAGTTGGTTGACTCCATGCAACACAGATGTACAGCAGTTCTCAGAAACAGTGCTTATACAACTAAATATTCATTAAGTGATTCAAAGGAAAGCAAAATCTTCAAACATTTTTCAGTTTATATAGTGAATGTTTGAGTTTGTAAAGAAGAATACAAACACTGCTATTTTTTTGAACAGTCTAATATTCACTTTTCTTCAATTTTTTTAGAGGAACAACACAAATTTGATATATTTTTCTTCATGTTTTGATTTGGAATAGAATGTGTAGTGTTCCCAATGCATTTGTGTGTATGGAAATAAAAGCTATTAGAAGGATTTTGAGCTTTATTCACTTCTTTCAACACACTGCTATTATTTTGAACACAACAGTATATTTGTATGATTATTTGGTATAAGCATGTACGATAAATAAAAGTCCATATGAGTGTGATATATTGTCCTTTTATTATTGATGTAAAGTGAAAATCCTGTGCTCAGGTGAAGATACGTTCCATGTGACATTTATTCCATTCGGTGAAGTGCAGGGAATATGGTAAAAATGCACACTCACCAGATGCGCATTTAAAATATGCAGTACAATATATAAGATATAATCAGCCAGAGGTCCCCTTTAAGGTGGAATGGGTGTACAGCCTGGAAAGGATCTCCCTCCTCTGGATCTTGGAGCTGCCCTGCAGCTTAGTGTCACATGGGATTTTGTAGATTAATTGCTCAATGTAGAGCTCCTCTGCCTCTCGCTTGTAACACATGAAGATAGAAGCTGATTGGCTATCATGCAAAACTGCGCCAAATTTTGCACTGGTTTTAGTAAACCAACCCGTGTGTCAAATATTTTGCTTTGATTCTATTTTTTCATAAAATCCTTTTTTTTCACCCTGTGTCCCATCTTAGTGCTACTGATCTCCTCTAATCCTTTTCAGCCACTTCCTGTCTTCATGCACTTCTTAGCAACACATCATGGATATCGCTACGCAATGTGTAATGGTATTTATGTGACGGGGTGAGAACGTAAAAGCACAACTGGGAGACAGTTGTCACTCCATAACAGGAAGTGCCTGAACAAATACTTTCATGGTAGAATGACCAACTATAATTTTAATGAAGCCGCGAGATTTTAAAATATTGATAATAACTTTTAAATTACAGTGACATGTTAATAAAAGATTTTAGTGATCAGGTTTACAAATACTTTAATTCTTCATTTCATGTATTACCTTGCTATCCAACTGTTACCCAAGGCTTGATTTACACCTTTGCCGCTCTCCGAGTTGCGTTTGCGCAGACATAGCAGCCCGTTCATTTGAATGGATTGCTGACTGCGTTTCATGTAGGAAAAAGGTTACGGCACCGTTTTTTAAAATGCACCTCCAGAGAAATCACATGGTGCTTTTGTGCCATGTGATTTCCTGCATCTGCAAATGCGCTGTGCTTTCAGATGTGTGGGGGTGCTATTAGGAATGAATGGCAGCCATGCGAGTCTATAAAACAGCAGCGCGTTTTTGCTGTGGTGGAGAAAGGTGGGATTCCAACACCTGCAACCACCAGTACAAGTGTGAACCTAGACTACGATATATATATATATATATATATATATATTGTATTTATAGGTTACTACTGCTTATGGATTATAAAAAATACTTGAGTTAAAAAAAAAAAAATTAATCAGTGACTTATGTCCAGTTTTTATTTGGAAAATGTTCCTTCGAATGAGGACAATGATCATACACACAGGTAGGGGAAAAACACATTTTCAGTCAACAGATGGTTTCGAGGTCTCATTTGTGGTAACATAATCAACTGAAGAATGTTGTTTTAAGTGCAGTTCCTTTGGGACCAATCAGGATTCAGCTTTCACTGGTCTTACTAATGTCAATGAAAGTCACATTGGTTGTTCTGAGTTACAGCACACAGCCCCGGCCCTTTCTACTGTCTTGTGTGTGTTTAACGTGAACAAAGTAGAAAATCTTGCAGCTAAACGTGTTGTCACCCTCCACCCCCTACAGATTCTGAGTTAGTGAGGGAGAGGTAAAACCTCTCCAGAATTTGATGCTGTCTGCTGCGGATCAAAATGTGTGGACGGATATTTGCTATGAAGGCAGTGGCGACATCTGGCTCCCATCTGTGTCTCTGTAAAAATAATAATAAAAGTATTCAGTAAGAGCCACCTTACTACAAACCAGTTATATAGCAAAACAGTCATCACATTTTTAATTGTTCCACCCCTGCTTTCTCAGAAATTACTGCCCTATTGCTATACTTACCTTCATCTTGCTACAAAGGCCCACACATGCCGATTCCTTTTCTCCTGTCATCCTATTCCTGGTTGGATGACACCCAGCATCATCCAACCTCTTCCTCTAGGTAGGCCAGTGGTTCTCAGTATTCAAGTACCCCCCAACAGGCCATGTTTAAGGAATTTCCCTTAGATAAAATAGCTCTTATAAATACACTGCTCAAAAAAATGAAAGGAACACTTTGAAAACACATCAGATCTCAATGGGTAAAAATATCATGCTGGATCTCTATACTGATATGGACTGGGTAATGTGTTAGGAACACAAGGATGCCCCATCGTTTGATGGAAATGATCAACCTACAGAGGACTGAATTCAAAGACACCCGAAAATCAAAGTGAAAAAATGATGCAGCAGGCTAGTCCATTTTGCTGAAATTTCATTGCAGCAACTCAAAATGGTCCTCAGTAGTTTGTATGGCCCCCACGTACATGTATGCATGCCTGACAATGTCGGGGCATGCTCCTAATGAGACGACGGATGGTGTCCTGGGGTATTTCCTCCCAGATCTGGACCAGGGCATCACTGAGCTCCTGGACAGTGTGAGGTGCAACCTGGCGGTGTCGGATGGACCAAAACATGATATTCCAGAGATGTTCTATTGGATTGAAATCAGGCGAGTGTGGGGGTCATTCAATGGTATCAATTCCTTCATCCTCCAGGAACTGCCTGCATACTCTCGCCACATGAGGCCGGGCATTGTCATGCACCAGGAGGAACCCAGGACACACTGCACCAGCGTAAGGTCTGACAATTGGTCCAAGGATTTCATCCTGATACCTAAAGCAGTCAGGGTGCCATTGTCTAGCCTGTAGAGGTCTGTGTGTCCCTCCATGGATATGCCTTCCCAGACCATCACTGACCCACCATCAAAACGGTCATGATGAATGATGTTACAGGCAACATACCCTTCTCTGTGGCTTCTCCAGTCCCTTTCATGTCTGTCACATGTGCTCAGGGTGCAACTTCTCTCATCTGTGAAAAGCACAGGGTGCCAGTGGCGGACCTGCCAATTCTGGTGTTCAATGGCAAATGCCAATCGAGCTCTATGGTGCTGGGCAGTGAGCACAGGGCCCACTAGAGGATGTCGGGCCCTAAGGCCACCCTCATGAAGTCTGTTTCTGATTGTTTAGTCAGAGATATTCACACCAGTGGCCTGCTGGAGGTCATTTTGTAGGGCTCTGGCAGTGCTCATCCTGTTCCTCCTTGCACAAAGGAGCAGATACCGGTCCTGCTGATGGGTTAAGGACCTTCTACGGCCCTATCCAGCCCTCCTAGAGTAACTGTCTGTCTCCTGGAATCTCCTCCATGCTCTTGAGACTGTGCTGGGAGACACAGCAAACCTTCTGGCAATGGCACGTATTGATGTGCCATCCTTGAGGAGTTGGGACTGCCTGTGCAACCTCTGTAGGGTCCAGGTATCGCCTCATGCTACCAGTAGTGACACTGACCCTAGCCAAATGTAAATCTAGTGTAAAACAGTGAGAAAAGATGAGTAAGGAAAAATATGTCAGTGGCCTTTACCTGTAAAACCATTCCTGTTTTGGGGGTCATCTCATTGTTGCCCATCTACTGCACCTATCAATTTCATTAACACCAAAGCAGCTGAAATCGATTAACAACCCCCTCTGCTACTTACCTGACCAGATCAATATCCCAGGAGTTTAATTGACTTGATGCTATACTCTGATTAAAAGGTGTTCCTTTAATTTTTTTGAGCAGTGTATAAAGCCATTCACATTGATTTAAAGCATCTGTGCAAAGTAAAGCAAATCCTGAACACATGACCTGTTGGGAACTACTACTACTACTGCATAGACATGCCTCCTGAAGCGCTATTTAGCACAATCTGTAGTTGTCATGCTTTCTGGGCCAACAGTTGTGGATTAACAGCAGCCTTGCAGGATTGTATAGCCCAACCTGCATACACATTCACCAGAGCAATAAATAGTAGCTGGGGGTGGGGGGCAACTAGTGTAGGATAACCAACACTAGAAGCAGTTCAACAATGAGTCTATAGGGGTATAATTGTCAGTCCATATGGGATAAAGTTCAAACACACTGCATGAAAGCTGCCAGGTGTAAAAAGCGACTCTGTGAACAAATCAAAGAGAGAAACAGCAGCGCCATCTGAGTGTAGTATTAAAAGAAAGCACTTTAATGGTTAATTAGCAACTGACAAAATGAAGAATGGTGTCACACATGTCAAACCAATCTCCTCTCCGCACTGTACACATCCAGACTGCTGCAAGCAGTGTGTCAGGCCATCTGAAGGATGAAGGAGCATGCATGCTTCGAACACGTGACACCTCCTGCCTTTACTTCCATTCTGACGTCACAGCGGTCAGCACTCGTGCGTTAGTACCATCTGGGGAGCTCTGAAAGCCACCAGCATGGCTGAGGCTGAAGATCACACTTCTTGCAGGGGTCCGGATGTGTACAGCGTGGAGAGGAGATTTGTTTGACATGTGTAACATGTCAGTTGCTAATTAACCATGAAATAGTGTGCTTTCTTTTAATACTACACTCAGATGGCGCTGCTGTTTTCCTCTTTGGTTTGCTCTGCAGCAATGTCAGCATTGCATGCAGGAAAATGTAATTCAGTTGACATATAAGCACTGTCTGTTCAAACCCACCCACATAGGGATACTGGATCCAGGGAGGAAGAGGTAGTGGTGGTCATGTGACCATCACTTTTAGTGCAGTTATGAGGTATTTGGGAAATTTCTGGGTATTAAAATAAGTGGGGAGGTGTGCAGGTAGGGCAGGGATAATAGGCTGTAGGATGTAGAATATTAAAGCCCAACCCCAGGAAAATAGCTTGGATAGGTTTAGAAAGGAAGGTGTAGAACACATCATTTTTTTTTTCAATTACTTATTTAGGACTCAAATGCAAGCACAGGTATAGGTGGAGATCTCCCAGCCACAGTTGGAGATAGTGACAAAATACTATTAGACAGAGGCAATCACGTACAACCTGGCATACATACCTTTGCCCTGAATGTGCCAGTTGAAACCTGGTTGTCTTCCACTGAATGCAAATGAGGGAATGCCCCAGATGTATACTGGATAAAAAAAGAAGCTTGCACTTGTGGCGTAAGGTATTTCCAAGGCCAGCAATACAAAGATGTTGACGTGTGGCAGTGTGGAGGGATAGCCCTTAAGGGCTGGGGGGACAGGGGTAGGGGGTAGTTTACAGGTAAAGGAAGACAGAGGGGAAAAAAAAAAAAAGAAATGGATACAGAGGGGTTGGGGAGAATGGATTAAAGGCTAAAGTTCACCTTTACAATTAAAATATTAAATTCACATACCTGTATTTTTCTAGGTAAAAAAATGTGCTTTTATTATTTTTTAAACCAGGAGCCTGCAGAGTATTGCACTTGCGATCAGGCTCCTGCACACACTACCTACAGCTCTGTTGCCTGTACCTCTGTATGGGCTGTCATTTGCAGAGCTGTAGGCAATTGTGAATGAATTATGGGCGTGCTGATCAGCGTTGTGAATGGATTATGGGCATGCTGATCAGTGTTCCTGCAGTTCATTCAAACTACAAGTCCATTTGTCACGGTGGCAGATGGGGTTGTAGTTTATCTATTCGCAGGAATCTGTGAATGAATGACGAGGCTGTGTGGTTGGAGACCTGTAAAGCCGCACTATTTTTAAACAGAGACAACGGGGAGAAGAACTCCTGCCTGCTGTCACTCTGGGGGGGTGAGTTAAGGGGAGAGAGGGGCAGGTGCTGGAACATGGTACATGTTCCACCCTAAATATGGGTTGCATGTGCAACATGCTCCAGAGGTGAGCTTATATTGTAAGGAGATGGAATTGATTGATGGAAGGCTATGGAGGAAAAAGAAGGATCCTGAGTTGTCCTACAGTTTTTATTTGTTTTCCAATGTCCAGTGTTCCTGTAGACAGCAGTATAACCTGGATGATAACCTGTTGCTTTTAAAAAAAAAAAAACCCTCAAAATCCACTGTGCAAAAATCACACATAAATACCTAACGCAGCCAGCATTAAGTACAGGAATATACACCAATATCAAAAATAAGTGCAGCACTATTAATGGGAGAATAAATAGTGATAAATTAGAATATAAAAAAAAATGCAAAAAACATAAGTCCTCTGAAAAGTGAACCCAATGAAAAGCGACCAATACTCTGAAGAGCAAATACAATCACTCGTTATGGTGGAGGACACACTGCGTTACGGGAGTCACTAAGAGATCTTCTAACACTACTTATTGAGCTCACCCTTCAGAAGACTATCACATCATACTGGGTTCACTTTTCAGAGGACTTTTATTGCTTTTGAATTTACATTTATTGTAACAGCGATTGTGTTCACTCTTCAGAGTATTGGTCATTTTTCATTGGGTTCACTTTTCAGTGGACTTATCTTTTTTGCAGTCTTTATGTTACATCACTGATTATTCTCCCATTGATAGCGCTGCACTGATTACCTGTTGCTGCCTGCATAACAAATATGCGTCATTAAAAGGGTGGGTTTTAACGCCCACACACTGCACATATGCATTAATGGGTGGCTAATGTTTGTGTGCTTAGAGCATGCTCCCCAAACAGAAACCGAGCTGTGACAGCAGACAGTTCTTGGTCTGGACAAATGGTCAGCACCTGGCAGAATCGGCTCCCAAACATGTGACCACTGTGACAGCCATCAAAGAGGTCACATGATCGCCAATCCTGTCCCACCCCTTGGTCTTTAGAACTTTTTAAAGAGATGCTGGGGCGGACAGGAAGTGGTTAAAGTCGGTATCCCTCAATGGAGTCTATTGGATTTTTACGGTGACTACAAATATCCTATTTTTTCCAAACGTGTATTGTGTTTTGAGGTCTCCTTTCAGCCATATTTGTTTCAGGACTCTCACCTCTATTAAGTAGGCAGCCACCATGGTGGCACTACGAGATCTTCCAGCCTTGCAGTGGATGTAAACACTATGTCCCTTTTCTTGGTGTCGGTGTACGAACTTCACTCCTTTTTGTAAGTTCTCCAGTGATGGGACTCCAGTAAAGTCAACAGTGCTGAGTCTCAGCTGCTCCACACCAAGAGATTCCCACTGCTGCAGACAAATCATGAGACAAAAGGAAATGTTTAAAGGGAAAGTAATACATAGCAAAACACCCATGTGAAAAGCTTCAAACAGAAGCTGCCAAGGATTGCCTCCCTGACCTGTGTACTAGTGTGAGCACTGACAGTGAAGCCAAATAGGTTTCGGGCCTTGAAATGAAGCCGAATACGCTCATATTTACTGTCCTGGAAATACTATAAATCCTGGAGGCCTGAGAACGGCAACTTTACTCTGAAGATTATTAAAAGTCTGCCCAAGACATGTACCTTGGAAGTGAACCTGTGAGATGTAAAATATAGGAGTGGTCATTGGTTCATTTTTTAAAAGCTGACCTCCAGCCTTACTTTCCGTCTTGCACAGTTGTACAGGACACTCTCTTGTCCTAAAATGGCTCACTCTCATTTCACTGCACATTGTAAGCTTCTCACAGTGTTCATTAGAAGCTGCAGCAGGTAAGATACAGCACACCTCATTTTCTTGCTGGAGGACATCCATCATCATCTAGCTCATTCCCCTGCTGCCTCACTGTCCTTGGCCTTCCACTCAATGGATTTCAGTTATAGAGGCTCAGCATCACAAGTGGGTGTTACCTAGGGCGGCAATGCACACAGTTGCAGTGCAGTGGTAGTTTTCTAGCTTTCAGATAGCTGGTAAAGAGGTGACACATTGCCTATCAATTTTAAAAAGCAATCCACCACCGATCATCTTTTAGAGCGGCAGCAAAGGCTGCTGGTGTAAACAAACCCTAAGGCTACATTCACAATTGAGCGATTTGTAGCTTGAAGCTCTTAAAACGCTCAAACTTAAAAAATCAATTGTTCTCTCTGGTGCCTGTTGGAGCAATCAGGTGTGAACAGGCACCACAGAGAATAACTGTTTTTTGTTTTTTTTTTTTAAGTTTGAGCGTTTTTGGAGCATCGAGCTTCGCGCGTCAAGCTACAAATCGCACAAGTGTGAATGCAGACTTGACCACAAGTTTCTTGCAAGATCAACAGATGCTTTTTGAACTTATCAAACATCCAATGCTCCACTGACGACTTTGGGGGAAATTCGATAAAGCTGTTACGCCACTTTTTCTGGCATTAATCCCTTGTTGCTGCATTATTATTATTACAGGTACTTCTTATTATTATATTATTATACAGTATTTATATAGCGCCAAAGGGTTTGCTCAGCGCTGTACAATAGCAAGGGGGACAGAATATGAGACAGGACAGAAACAATACAATACACGAGGGGTACGAGGGCCCTGCTCTTTCGAGCTTACAATCTAGGAGATACTTATATAGAGCTATCAATTTACGCAGTGCTTTTATATATATTACACATTCACATCAGTCCCTAACCCTCAAGGAATGTACAACCTAAGGTTCCTAACTCACATTCATACACGCACACTAGGGCCAATTTGGACAGGAGCCAGTTAACCTACCAGCATGTCTTTGGAGTGTGGGAGGAAATTGCATCAAATTCATGAACCATACACAACACTTTTGGTTCTGACTCGTGCACCAAGTTCTAAAATGCGCCACTTTTACATTGTGGCGCAATCAATGCATCAAGTCAAAATAAAATACTGACAGTTCGTATCTTGGCAGACAGAGAGAGAAACTGGCGAAGAAAGATTTTGCAGAAGTGTCTCACATGCTTTCTAAATGCAGTGCAGCATGTGTCAAATTCAACTACACGTTCTAGAGAAGTACAAGAATTTGGTGCATGTTGCACCACATTAAGAACACATGAAAAAAAAAAAAAAAAAAAAGACTACAACAGTCTTTATGAAATGCAGGGATTACGTCCATGCACTCCCAGGTACAGGTGCTGGCTCCCTAAGCAGTCAGTGATCTGCTAAACTTCCAAGGAGAGATTGAAGCCATGGACTGGAATTGAAGCCACTGGTAAATGTTAATTGTGAATAAGCTCTCCGCTGAGTTAAAGCGAAACTTCACCCAAAAAGGGAAATTCCACTTTTCTTCCCCCCCCATCATATTTGGAATGTCTTCTTTTTAGGGGGGGGGGGGGGGCGGTACCTAGTTTTGACAAGTACCTGTTTCCACATCTGCTCCGAACACATAGGTGAATGGAGCAGAAGTTCGCTCTCCGTCCTCTCCCTGCAGCCTCTTGAGGCACATCACAGGTCCCAGGGGACTGCAGGACCATTCACAGGGCACAGAGCGGATTGCGCATTTGCAATTGGCAGCCGGCTGTGGCCCTTCAAGGCATCACAGCCAGCTGCTCACAGTTAAGGTGTTGGCACCAGAGACCCAAAGATTGGTGAAGAGCTGGATCGATAGCCGGAGGATAGCACTGGATCCTGGGACAGGTACAGTAAGTGGTGTGTGTGTTTTTGTATTTGTAGCTGCTGACTTTTACATTTTTGTTTACAGGATGAAGAACCTCTTTAAATATTTTAGAGGACTGAGGTTCGGGTGAACTTGCATGGTACTGGCTAGTACAATATAGTTTTAACAGAGGATCTCCAGTGTGCGGCTTCCTCCCTTTTTGCTTTTGCTTAACATGGACCTTCACCTCGAAAGACGATGTGAATGAACCTGGCTCCAGCCCCTCCCTCTACCACAACTGGATACAAGCCTACCTCGGTTTACGAATTTAATGCGTCTTCCGGGACGTTTCGTATTGCTAAAAACTCGTAAACCGAAACACAGTTTTCCCATAGGAATGCATTTAAAACCAATCAATCCGTTCTGGAGGTCAGAAAAAAGTAAAAAAAAAGTCTTATCTGTTCAAAACTCTTTATAAAGTGTACTTTAAAGGCATAAATACTATACAGGGACATGATTAAAAATTTCCAGAATGGCTCGAAAACTCGATGCAAAAACCGCTCCAACACGTCCACACTCGATGCCACATGCCACCCACAGACTCCAGCATGCACGGGGCTTATGATGCATGAGACCAACCAGCGAGATCACTTACCTGAGAAGAGTGGCACAGCAGTCTGGTTTCATATTCCTCATTCATAGTAATGACCCCACGTACATTCTCTTCTTTAATCAACTGCAGGAAACACATGGGTGTGAATTACATCTTGCACACAGAAATTTACTACATCACATAGGTCACAGAACAGCGCGGATTAATCGTATCCAATACTTCTTATAGCCATACATGAGAAATGTTGGATTTTTTTATTATTACAGCGATTTACAGGATACACAAAATTCCAAATAAACCCCACCCAATCAGTTGAATACATTTTTTAAAAATAATAAATAAATCCGGTATATATAAACTATCCTAAATATTAGTCTAACGTGCAAAAGTCATTGCTGCCACCATAATCAATGTCAAAGCTGTTTCACATATCCAAATTACTATATAATCCAGATATAAGGTAGCGGTAAGGGAATCAAATTATTATCAAAATCATAGCAGTCAGACATCACTAACCTGATCAAATCACTGTTTTTGGTAGAAATTATATTTCTACATGGCAAATAATTTACTAGCAAGTGTAGTAGAGTAATAGAAATCCAACAGACCCAACAGTCATGACATGCATGCTGCTGATTCTGTGTAATTGAATCACTAATTGAAAGGGGCATGTTCAAAATAATAGCAGTGTGGAGTTCTATTAGTGAGGTCATTCATTCTTTGAAAAACAGGTGGCAATTATTGCTCTTATTTAACTAGCTGCCGACCGCAGATAGCCGAATGACAGCTGCACTGCGGCCGGCCAGTTCTGAGTGGACGTCATATGACGTCCTCCCAGAACGCGCTCTCCTGCGCGCCCCAGGGGGCGCGCACATGGCGATCTCCGTGATCCCTGTGTCCTACGGACACAGCTGATCACGTGATGTGGTAAAAGGCTAATCACAGTGGCCTTTTACCACGTGATCAGCGGTGTCCAATGACACGCTGATCAGAGGGAAATGCAAGTGCCGGTTCTCGGCTGCACTTTCCTCACGCTGTCAGATCGTGAGGAAAGTACTACCGAGAACCGGCAGTTGTCAGAGCGGGGATCGGCACCGATCATCGGGGCACTGATGATCAGTGCCCTGATGATCGGTGCCCAGCAGTGCCACCCGCAAGTTCCGCCCACCTGTGCCCAGCAGTGCGCCCACTAGCTCCGCCCACCCGTGCCCAGCAGATCACCCACCTGTGCCCAGCAGTGCACCCACTTGTGCCACTCTGCAGTGCCACCTACCTGTGCCCAGCAGTGCCACCCACCTGTGCCCACCAGTGCCACCCACCTGTGCCCACCCACCAGTGCTGCCCACCAGTGCCGCCCAGCAGTGCTGCCAGTCAGTGCCACCAGTCAGTGCCGCCAGTCAGTGCCCAGCAGTGATGCCGGTCAGTGCCGTCTATCAGTACCCATAATCAGTGTCACCTATCAGTGCCGCCTATCAGTGCTGCATATTAGTGCCGCCTATCCGTGACACCTCATTAGTGCTGTCTATCAGTGCCGCCTATCCGTGCCACCTCATTAGTACTGCCTATCAGTGCCCATCAGTGCCGCCTATCAGTGCCCATCAGTGCTGCCTCATCAACGCACATCCGTGAAGGAGAAAAAATACCTGTTTGAAAAATTTTATAAAAGAAACAAAGAAACTTTTTTTTTTCCAAATTTTTTGCACTTTTTATATTTATAGCGCAAAAAGTAAAGCGCCCAGTGGCGATTAAATACCACCAAAAGAAAGCTCTATTTGTGAGAAAAAAAATGATCAAAATTTCATATGGGTACAATGTTGCATGACCGCGCAATTGTCAATCAAAGTGCGGCAGCGCTGAAAGCTGAAAATTGGCCTGGTAAATAAGGGGGTATAAGTGCCTGGTAGGCAAGTGGTTAAGGAAGGAAGGCATCAAATGTTGTACATGCTGGTTACAGTGCATTTCTCTCTAAAATTCTGAGGAAAATGGGTCGTTCCAGACATTGTTCAGAAGAACAGAGTACCTTGATTAAAAAGTTGGAGAGGGGAAAACATATAAAGTTACAGTAATTGTAACAGTACTCACAGGGAACGTCACACTTCTTTCATCTTCCTGGAGCTGATTGTTGGCTGAGTCCTTGCCATTTTGGCTATTCTTCTATCCATTCGAATGGTAGTTTTTCGCTTTCTTCCACGTCTTTCAGGTTTTGGTTGCCATTTTAAAGCATTTGCAATCATTTTAGCTGAGCAGCCTATCATTTTCTGCACTTCTTTATATGTTTTCCCCTCTCCAATCAACTTTTTAATCAAGGTACGCTGTTCTTCTGAACAATGTCTGGAACAACCCATTTTCCTCAGAATTTCAGAGAGAAATGCACTGTAACCAGCATGTCCAACATTTGCTGCCTGCCTTCCTTCCTTCCTTAAATAAGGGCAATAATTTCCACCTGTTTTTCAAAGAATGAATGACCTCACTAATAGAACTCCACACTATTATTTTGAACATGCCCCTTTCAATTAGTGATTCAATTACACAGAATCAGCAGCATGCATGTCATGACTGTTGGGTCTGTTGGATTTCTATTACTCTACTACACCTGCCTAGTAAATTATTTGCCATGTAGAAATATCATTTCTACCAAAAACAGTGATTGATCCGGTTAGTGATGTCTGACTGCTATTATTTTGAACACAACTGTACTTGGCCACTGAATCACTTTCACCAGGTTCTTCTTCAGAAATGCAACAGTGGCCTTAGAGGTGTGTTTTGGATCATTGTCGTGTTGGAAAAGTGAGCAACAACCAAGAGCACAGAGTGATGGTAGCATCTTCTCATTCAATATATAGAGTACATCTGTGAATTCATAATACCATCAATGAATTGCAGCTCTCCAACACCAGCAGGACTCATGCAACCCCACAGAAGGACACTGCCTCCACTATGTATAGGCACTGTGCATTTTTCTTTCTACTCCTCACCTTTGCGATGCCATATAGTTTTGAAACCATCAGTTCCAAAAACATTTCTCTTCATCTTTATCATCAATCCAGAGTACAGCATCCCAGTAGTCTTCTTTTTCAGCATGGGCCCTGGCAAATTCTAGGCAGGTTTTTTTGTGAATGTGCCTTTGGTGAGGCAACCTTAATGGACGACACTCATACATGCCATTCTGCAGTGTACAGCGTATTGTGTCACGGGAGAATCACCCCAGTTTGGCTTTCTACTTCTTTAGCAAAACTGCAGGGAACTTGCCTGGTGATTTTCTTTAACCCTTCTCATCAGAAGATGTTCCTGTCAAGGTGTTAACTTCCATGGATGGCCTGGACCTCTTTGTGAAATGGTTGCAGCTCCATCTTTGATGAATTTTTGTATCAATTTTGCTACAGTATCCTGGCTGATAAGCTTTGCTGATCTCCTTGTAACCTTCACCTTTCATGTGTAAAGAAATGATTTTCTTTCTCAGGCCTTATGACATTTCTCTTCCATGTGGTGCCATTGCTGGCAGCATGAAATGGGAGGGGTTTTCTTTAAGTAACTCCCTTTTATAATCAATTGTCTGCTGAACACCTGTGTAATGAATAGACTCACCTGGAGTTGAATTCTTGTTAATTAGGATTTTGTTGTCTAAACCTTAGTTTCACTCCTAAGACTTTCACTGGGGTGTATTCAGTTTTGCAACATGGTTTTGAATTAATTTGTTAGGAAAAATACTTTTTTGTGTGTGCAAATTAACAAATCTTGTTTGCAATCAGTGACCCGCATTTGTGGAAATATTTTGTAGTATAGTGTCCCATAGAAAATGTTAATTCTGAAAGGCAAGTAAAGATTTTCTGACAAATCTGTTGGGGTGTTCTTATTTATGCTCAGCACTGTATATATAGCCCAGTGATTACTTTTTGTGATAAATGTATATGCATCCTCATTACTACTTATGGTGGTCAATAAACACATATATAGCTCCACTATTACTTATTGTGATAAATAAATGTATACTGCTCAAAACAATTAAAGGAACACTTTTTAATCAGAGAATAGCATCAAGTCAATTAAACTCCTGGGATATTGATCTGGTCAGTTAAGTAGCAGAGGGGGTTGTTAATCAGTTTCAGCTGCTTTGGGTGTTAATGAAATAAACTACAGGTGCACTAGATGGGCAACAATGAGATGACCCCCAAAACAGAAATGGTTTTACAGGTAAATTCCACTGATATTTTTTCCCCTACTCATCTTTACTGACTGTTTTTCGGTAGTTTTGCATTTGGCTAGGGTCAGTGTTACTACTGGTAGTATGAGGCAATATCTGGACGTACAGAGGTTGCACAGGCAGTCCAACTCCACCAGGATGGCACATTAATACGGCCCATTGCCAGAAGGTTTACTGTGTCTCCCAACACAGTCCAAGAGCATAGAGGAGATTCCAGGAGACAGGTAGTTACTCTAGAAGAGCTGGACAGGGCCGTAGAAGGTCCTTAACCCATCAGCAGGACCGGTTTCTGCTCCTTTGTGCAAAAAGGAACAGGATGAGCACTGCCAGAGCCCTACAAAATGACCTCCAGCAGGCCACTGGTGTGAATGTCTCTGACTAAACAATCAGAAACAGACTTCATGAGGGTGGCCTGAGGGCCCGACATCCTCTAGTGGGCCCTGTTTCAGTGCCCGGCACCATAGAGCTCGATTGGCATTTGCCATTGAACACCAGAATTGACAGGTCCACCACTGGCACCCTGTGCTTTTCACAGATGAGAGCAGGTTTACCCTGAGCACATGTGACAGACGTGAAAGGGTCTGGAGAAGACGTGGAGAACGTTATGCTGCCTGTAACATTATTCAGCATGACTGTTTTTGGTGGTGGGTCAGTGATGGTCTGGGGAGGCATATCCATGGAGGGACAGACCTCTACAGGCTAGACCAGCAATGGGCAAACTACGGCCCGGCAGACCTTTTAATCCGGCCCGCGGAGCGTGGCAAACATTGCCTGTCAGGATGTAGGCGGGACAGCGTGTCGAACTCCTCTCACAGTCCGCCCTGAAGACCGGAATGGCGCGGGGAACACGGCGAGAGGAACGCGCGGAGCAAAGGTAAGTGAATTGACACAATATGGAAAATGAATTACTATAGGGGGGGATGAATTACTATGGGGGATGAATTATTATATGGGGGATGAATTACTATGGGGGATGAATTACTATGGGGGATGAATTACTATGGGGGATGAATTACTATATGGGGGATGAATTACTATATGGGGGATGAATTACTACTATGGGGGATGAATTACTATGGGGGGATGAATTACTATATGGGGGATGAATTACTATATGGGGGATGAATTACTATATGGGGGATGAATTACTATATGGGGGAATAATTACTATGCTTACTATGGGGGAATATTACTATACTTACAATGGATGGCATGGTAGTGGCTGGGCCGGCCAGCAGCTAGTCCGGCCTCCGGGTCCAATATATGAACCCATTGCGGCCCTCAAGTAAAAAGGTTTGCCCACCCCTGGGCTAGACAATGGCACCCTGACTGCCATTAGGTATCGGGATGAAATCCTTGGACCTATTATCAGACCCTACGCTGGTGCAGTGTGTCCTGGGTTCCTCCTGGTGCACAACAATGCCCCGCCCTCCTGGGGAGAGAGTATGCAGACAGTTCATTGAGGATGAAGGAATTGATACTATTGAATGGCCCCCACAGTCGCCTGACCTAAATCCAATAGAACATCTCTGGGATATCATGTTTCGGTCCATCCAACACCACCAGGTTGCACCTCAGACTGTCCAGGAGCTCAGTGATGCCCTGGTCCAGATCTGGGAGGAAATCCCCCAGGACACCATCCGTCGTCTCATTAGGAGCATGCCCCGATGTTGTCAGGCATGCATACAAGCACATGGGGGCCATACAAACTATTGAGGACCATTCTGAGTTGCTGCAATGAAATTTCAACAAAGTGGACTAGCCTGCTGCATCATTTTTTCACATTGATTTTCGGGGTGTCTTTGAATTCAGTCCTCTGTAGGTTGATCATTTTCATTTCCATCAAACGATGGGGCATCCTTACGTTCCTAACACATTACCCCGTCCATATCAGTATGGAGATCCAGCATGAGATTTTTCCCCATTGAGATCTGATGTGTTTTCCAAGTGTTCCTTTCATGCTTTCAGCAGTGTGTATACAGCCCCATTACTAATAACTGTGATAAATAAGAGGTTTAATATTATTATGACTTCATTCAACCACACGACCTCCAGCTGTCTGCGGGAAGCGAAGCACGCATGCGCGCTAACCTTGTCACTCATCCCACGGAAGGGCAGCGCTCCCAGGATAACCGTCTCATCGATCCTGTCATACCACTTCCGGCTGGAGACCTTCTCCATCACCACGTTGTACAGCAAGGTCGGGTAAAATAGTACTCGGGTCGCCACCGACTGCACAGGCATGATTTCCATGAAGCATGTTAGGCGACCGACTGTATCTGCACAATCGCCATATTGGTTGCTGGCGCTTCCGCCCTCGTAGCTGAAAGGACGGAAGTTGTTGGACGCCATACTTGATGAGGGAAAGTGTGAGGAACCGTTATGAGGGAAAGACGGGCTGCTGTTGCTAACTTTTTTGTAAGTGCGTCCATCCCGGTACTTCGCTTCTCTGCTGGTTGTTCACTTACCTGGAGCAAGCATACATACAGTGAGGTTTTTTACATGCGTGTTCTTATTAGCTAGTGAAAGTGTACCTCCAACAATTAGAACTTGAAGAGACACAGAGAGAGCTCTCTATACAGCCTTCCTACACATTTAACAATCCAAACACCTACAAACCACTTGTGTTACGAGCTATTGGTGGTCAGTGGCAGTAGAAAAAGCCCCTTCCCCTAATAAAGGGTGGTCAGTGGCAGTAGGAAAAGCCCCTCCCCCTAATAATTGGTGGTCAGTGGCAGTAGGAAAAGCCCCTCCCCCTAATAATTGGTGGTCAGTGGCAGTAGGAAAAGCCCCTTCCCTAATTGGTGGTCAGGGGCAGTAGGAAAAGCCCCTCCCCCTAATAATTGATGGTCAGAGGCAGTAAGAAAAGCCCCTCCCCTTAATAATTGGTGGTCAGAGGCAGTAGGAAAATCCTCTCCCCCTAATAATTGGTGATGAGTAGCAGTAGGAAACCCTCTTCCAGTAATTGGTGTTCAGTATCAGCCCCTACCCCTAATAATTGTTGGTCAGTGCAGTAGGAAAAGCCCCTCCCCTTAATAATTGATGGTCAGTGGCAGTAGGAAAAGAAGCCCTTCCCCCTAATAATTAGTGGTCAGTGGCAGTACCGATAGCCCCCCCCCCCAATAATTGGTGGTCAGTAGCAGTAGGGAGAGCCCCCCCCCCCCCCAATAATTGGTGATGAGTAGCAGTAGAAATCCCCCTCCAATAATTGGTGGTCAGTAACAGAATACCCTCCCCCTAATAATTGTTGGTCAGTGGTAGTATGAAAAGCCCCCCCCCCCCCCAATAATTGTTGGTCAGTGGCAGTAGGAAAAGCACCTCCCCCTAAAAAAAATGGTGGTCAGTGCAGTAGGAAAAGAATCTCCCCCTAATAATTGGTCAGTGGCAGTAGTTAGAGCCCCCCCCCCACCCATAAATTTATGATGAGTAGCAGTAGAAATCCCCCCTCAAATAATTGGTGGTCAGTAACAAAATTCCCTCCCCCTAATAATTGTTGGTCAGTGGCAGTAGGAAACCCTCCTCCAATAATTGGTGTTCAGTAACAAAAGCCCCTTCTCTAATTTAATTTAATTATATCCTAATAATTGGTGGTCAGTGGCAGTAGGAAAAGCCCTTTCCCCTAATAAATGATGGTCAGTGGCAGTAGGAAAAGCCCTTTCCCCTAATAAATGATGGTCAGTGTCAGTAGGAAAAGCCCTCCCCCTAATAATTGGTGGTCAGTGGCAGTAGGAAAAGCCCTTTCCCCTAATAAATGATGGTCAGTGTCAGTAGGAAAAGCCACTCCCCCTAATAATTGGTGGTCAGTGACAGTAAGGAGAACCCCCCCAATAATTGGTGATCCATAGCAGTAGGAAACCCCCCTCCAATAATTGGTGGTCAGTAACAAAATTCCCTCCCCTAATAATTGCTGGTAGTATGAAAAGCCCTTTCCCCTAATAATAACATGTTGGTCAGTGGCAGTAGGAAAAGCCCCTCCCCCTAATGATTTGTGGTCAGTGGCAGTAGGAAAATCCTCTCCGCGGTGGTCAGTGGCAGTAAGAAACCCCTCTCCAATAATTGGTGGTCAGCAACAAAATTCCCTCCCCCTAATAATTGCTGGTAGTATGAAAAGCCCTTCCCCCTAATAATTGTTGGTCAGTGGTATATAGTTGCTATATATACTGTACACTTATGCCACCGTTCTTGTACCCACCTAATACTCCTAATTACACAGAACAGAATTGACAGAAAGATAACATGTTGAAGAACTTTATTAAAACTGTTGGAAACTACTTAGCGGAAGGGAAACAAAGAAACACAGCGCCTCTAGGTGTGTACTGCGAAGATATTCAATAAGAAGGTGAGTAGTAACACACATTGTAGAATGTAAAAGCAGGCTCATAGGTAACATGGTGAGACGTCTATAGCCAGACGTTCTGTGACTGATCCAGAGAGTCAGGTCCGCCAGCAGATGGTGCTGTGCATGTGCAACATGGAAGGGAAAGCGTACATTATTATTATTATTATACAGTATTTATAAAGCGCCAATAGTTCGCTCAGCGCTGTACATTACAGAGAACATGTGACAGAACCTTATGTATTATACATGGTGATCATATCCCCCCTTATGTATTATACATGGAGATCATATCCCCCCTTATGTATTATACATGGAGATCATATCCCCCTTATGTATTATACATGGAGATCATATCCCCCCTTATGTATTATACATGGTGATCATATCCCCCCTTATGTATTTATACATGGAGATCATATCCCCCCTTATGTATTATACATGGTGATCATATCCCCCTTATGTATTATACATGGAGATCATATCCCCCCTTATGTATTATACATGGAGATCATATCCCTCCTTATGTATTATACATGGAGATCATATCCCCCCTTATGTATTATACATGGTGATCATATCCCTCCTTATGTATTATACATGGAGATCATATCCCTCCTTATGTATTATACATGGAGATCATATCCCCCTTATGTATTATACATGGAGATCATATCCCTCCTTATGTATTATACATGGAGATCATATCCCCCTTATGTATTATACATGGAGATCATATCCCCCTTATGTATTATACATGGTGATCATATCCCCCCTTATGTATTATACATGGAGATCATATCCCCCCTTATGTATTATACATGGTGATCATATCCCCCCTTATGTATTATACATGGAGATCATATCCCCCCTTATGTATTATACATGGTGATCATATCCCCCTTATGTATTATACATGGAGATCATATCCCCCCTTATGTATTATACATGGAGATCATATCCCCCTTATGTATTATACATGGAGATCACATCCCCCCTTATGTATTATACATGGTGATCATATCCCCCTTATGTATTATACATGGAGATCACATCCCCCCTTATGTATTATACATGGTGATCATATCCCCCCTTATGTATTATACATGGTGATCATATCCCCCTTATGTATTATACATGGAGATCATATCCCCCCTTATGTATTATACATGGAGATCATATCCCCCCTTATGTATTATACATGGTGATCATATCTCCCCTTATGTATTATACATGGAGATCATATCCCCCTTATGTATTATACATGGAGATCACATCCCCCCTTATGTATTATACATGGTGATCATATCCCCCCCTTATGTATTATACATGGAGATCATATCCCCCCTTATGTATTATACATGGAGATCATATCCCCCTTATGTGTTATACATGGAGATCATATCCCCCCTTATGTATTATACATGGAGATCATATCCCCCCTTATGTATTATACATGGAGATCATATCCCCCTTATGTATTATACATGGTGATCATATCCCCCCTTATGTATTATACATGTTGATCATATCCCCCTTATGTATTATACATGGAGATCATATCCCCCCCCTTATGTATTATTCATGGTGATCATATCCCCCTTATGTATTATACATGGTGATCATATCCCTCCTTATGTATTATACATGGAGATCATATCCCCCTTATGTATTATACATGTTGATCATATCCCCCTTATGTATTATACATGGAGATCATATCCCCCCTTATGTATTATTCATGGTGATCATATCCCCCTTATGTATTATACATGGTGATCATATCCCCCCTTATGTATTATACATGGAGATCATATCCCCCCTTATGTATTATACATGGAGATCATATCCTCCCTTATGTATTATACATGGAGATCATATCCCCCCTTATGTATTATACATGGAGATCATATCCTCCCTTATGTAATATACATGGAGATTATATCCCCCTTATGTATTATACATGGAGATCATATCCCCCCTTATGTATTATACATGGTGATCATATCCCCCCTTATGTATTATATATGGTGATCATATCCCCCATTATGTATTATACATGGAGATCATATCCCCCCTTATGTATTATACATGGAGATCATATCCCCCCTTATGTATTATACATGGAGATCATATCCCCCCTTAGGTTTTATACATGGAGATCATATCCCCCCTTATGTATTATACATGGAGATCATATCCCCCCTTATGTATTATACATGGAGATCATATCCCCCCTTATGTATTATACATGGAGATCATATCCCCCCTTATGTATTATACATGGAGATCATATCCTCCCTTAGGTTTTATACATGGAGATCATATCCCCCCTTATGTATTATACATGGTGATCATATCCCCCTTAATCTCCTCTTCTCAAGAGAGAATAAATTCAGTTCCTCTAATCTTTCCTCATAGCTGATCTCCTCCATGCCTCTTATCAGTTTGGTTGCCCTTCTCTGTAATTTCTCCAGTTCCCCAATGTTCTTTTTGTGAATTGGTGCCCAAAACTGAACTGCATATTCCAGATGAGGTATTACTAATGATTTGTACCGGGGGAAATGATATCTCTCTCTCTGGAGTCTATACCTCTTTTAATACAAGAGAGGATTTTGCTCACTTTTGAAACCTCAGCTTGGCATTGCATGTCATTATTAAGCTTGTGATCTACCAGAACCCCCAGATCCTTCTCCACCATTGATTACCCCAGTTGTACCCCCCTAGTATGTTGAAATGCTGTGTAGGACTATAAGGGGGAACCAAAACTTCAGCAACTCATAAAGGGATCGTGATTTCTGTTGTACTGCTGCGTTGTCACTGTGTCACAGGCTTCTAAAAAGTGGCTATTTCAACACACTGGCTAACAACATTAAATACTTCTTACAGCTTCGTCACAAAACATGAT